CGCAGCAAGCGGGCCTGCCCCCTCGGCCTGGACGCTCCGCCCTCGAGAAGTGCCGAGGCGCTGCTGCGCCGTGCCGTCCGAAGGCCTCGCCCTCGCCGCCGCCGCCGCCGCCGCCGCCGCCGTCGTCGTCGTCGTCGTCGTCGCCGCCGCCGCCGCCGCCGTTGTTGTCGTCACTGTTGCCGTCGCCGCCGCTGTCTCTGCCGTTGTTGCCCCACTGATCGGCGGGCCAGCGGGTGCGGCCGTCGGCGACACGGACCCGCCCCCCCCCCCCCCGCGAGGGGCCGCTGCCGGCGCGCGCCTCGCCGAGGGGGCCCGAGGGCCGCCTGGAGCCCCACTGCGAAAGCCGAATCTCTCGGCCCCGCGCAGAGGGGGGGAGGGGGAGGGGGGAGGGCTTCTTAGAAGGAGGCTGCTCCTTAGAATGCGCGGACCTTATCTATAAAGGTGAGGCTGGCGCCTTCCAAGAAGCAGCCTCCTACTACGAAGCCGTCCCCCTCCGCGCACCGCCGAGGCTCGCTGGCCGGACTCCTGCCGGACGGCGTGCTCGCCCGCCCGCTTGCCCTCTTCCGCCTTCCGCCCTCTTTGAGATCGGCTCGTTGCATTTTTTTAGCGGCTTCGCCCAGCTTCGGGCCCTGGGACCAATACAGATCCATTTGGCTTGTATAATGGCTCAGAAAGATGGGGGTGTAGGGCTCTGGTCGTGATTTTTTCACGATGTCGTTTTTTCCTTTGCAACATCGGATCTCAGGGCTCCGCGCAGCCTGGGCCTGGGTGTTCGCACTACGTCTGGGGTGCTCGCGTCGGCACCGTTTCCATCAAGGTGGTCTATTGCGTCGGCGTCGTCAGGGGGCAGCGCTCGCTTCGCGACCTGCTTTGTATCGTCTTGTCTTGTCGTGCCTTGTCGTGTCTTGTCTTGTCTTCCCTTGCCTTATCCGCGGCCACTTGGAGCCGTATCGGGGCGGTCGTGGAGGCATGCTGGAACCTATCTGAAGCATTCTTGAGCTGTTTTGACTTGAGAGGGCACTTAATGCTTTCTTGACCACTCTTGGAGCCATCTCGGGCTATCTTGGACGCTCTTACCGCTCGCTGCGCCCCCCTCCAGACCCAGTGGAGGGGTAGTGTTACGTCAGGCGTGTCCCTCTACAGGAGGAATGTTCCAAAATAGTTACAAAATAGTCTGGGGACGATTTTTTCACCATTTTTTTTTGTAATATTTGTTTGGGTATTTTCTATTTGTCGTCCAAAATCCGCCTGTAGGGGGACAGGCCAGACGTAAGGGTAGTGGGAGGGGTCAAGCTACCCCACGCCGCAAGCCGTGTTGATCACTCCCACCCGCCTTCCCACCAACAAGGAGCACCCGCGTCTCAGCACAGGCAGGGGCCGCCATCGACAGCCATCGGGAACCAACGCAGACGCCAGCCAGGTGCGCGATGCCCGCGAGGTGCGCTGCAAGTGCCAGGTGCGCGTGCTCCACATTGGGCAATATGCCGACCGCACCACCACCCCAAAGGCAAAGTGACGACGGGTTTGCGAGCATTGTTTTGTGTGTGGGCGTGCACCCGCAATCACTTTGCGCTTGTCTTTGACAGGGACAGTAGGCATGCGCACAGCAGGCAGTATGCTCCTCCCCTCGTCCCTGGCAAGGTGACCTTTTATTTCTTGTTGTTGAAAAGGATGGTGGGCCGGCACGCGGCAGGCAATACGCCGGCAGCCACGTCGTCCCTGTCAAAAATCAATGCGGAGTGATCGCGGGGCGTCCGCGCATGATCCAGATTTTGGTGCATAGTGCACTGTACATTGTCTTTGACAGGGACTGCGGGGGTTGCCCGCAGGGTCACGGATTTATCATCAGTCGGGTGAGGGAGGGGGTGTACATGAAGAAGGGACAGTGATAAACCCCTCCCCGAAGGGGAAGTAGGGGGTTGGAAGAACTAGCTTGTGAAACCATCTACGCCCAGAGGACTGTTGGGATTCCCGACAAGGGTCTGCCCCTCTTTCGAGTCTGAGTAGAACCTCCTTCCAGTGCAATCACCATTTTGGGAATGGAGTCCTGCTCTTCGTGCGCTCTGTGATATGGGGAAAAGAGCCATGGGCATTGAGGCCGCGAGCCCGCCAACAATCTAGCGCGGTGTGATGAGCATATGCATATTTTTGGACACCCGTCCAGCGCACATGACGTCCCCGTTGCTGATCCTGGGAGCCCACTGATTCCCACCGCTTCCTCAGCGCCTTCGCCGCTTGCCACCGCCGCGGCTGGCTCGTTGGAACTAAACCACCATATGCATCTCGTCAGGGGCGTATTCGCAGAGGGATAGGGGAGGAGGAGGTGAGGAGAAGGAGACGGCCGGGGGTTGACAGCTGCGCGTCTGGCCTGGCCCGCCCCGTCCTCGCGCAGGAGGTCAAGATGCAGGAGGACGAGCTCAAGCGGCAGAAGAGGCTGCTCGAGGACATCCAGGGCGAGGTGGACCTCTTCATAGGCCGCACGGGTGGCCATGGGGTCCTAGATGCATGCGTTCATGCGCACATGTGCGCATATGATTCTACACACATATGCAGGTCTACGCAGACTTTGCAGAAATCCAAAACATCCAAATGAAAGCACAGGGTTTCCGCACCCCTGACATCGCAAGCCTTGTGTTTTCATTTTTTCCCCAATCGGAGCTTGCCTCTGTAGGGGTCCCAGCGGATTCACATGGTTAGGTTAGGTTTGCGGCCGATTTTCGCCGCACGCCCTGGTGCCCGGGTGCCCGGGGGTGCCCGGGTGCCCGGGTGCCCGGGGGTGCCCGGGTGCCCGGGTGCCCGGGGGTGCCTGGAGGGGTGCCCGGAGGTGCCCCGGGGTGCCCGGGTGCCCCGGGGTGCCCGGGTGCTCTATAGCCCTATAGCCCTATCGTTCTGTAGCCCTATATCCCTATAAACCTATAGACCTATAGCCCTATAGTCCTATAGCCCTATAGCCCTATTGCCCTATAGCCCTATAGCCCTATAGTCCTTATGCCCTATAGCCCAACCGCCCTATAGCCCTATAGCCCTATAGCCCTTATAGGCCTATAACCCTATAGCCTTATTGCCTTGTAGTCCTACAGCCCTATGTCGCTATATCCCTATAGCCCTATAGTCGTATGGCCCTAGCCTTATGGTTCTATAGCCGTATAACCCCATAGCCCTACAGCCCTAAAGATATTATGATTGGTTTTTCTCCGGTCTCATGCAGTTCTGGTGTGAGAAGTGAGGAAGCCATGTGTTCTGAGCTGGATTTTCGGATGTTCAGGGCTCTGGGGATCGGAGCTCCTGGGAGGGCTCCTGGGTTGAGTTTTTCGTACGAGGGAGGAGGATCCCCCAAATCCCAAACATCGCTTCCCATCACAGAAAGCCCAACAACCCCGAAGAGAACGCATGGTTTCCGCACCCCTGACATCGCAAACCTTACTCCCGCACCATCCTGTGGCGTTGCGTCTTGGTTTTGAAGAGACAGAGCCCCGCGTCCTCACTCCTCCTCCCGGTCCTCCCGCTCCTCCCTCCCCTTTCTCCGATCCTTGCCTCTGCCCTCCGAACCAGTCAACAATTTTGGCACACCCCTCACACGTCTCGTGGCCCCATAGGGAAGCCCCCACCGAAGGCCCAAATGTCAGCGTTCGCATGCTGCCACTGCACCCATTTTGGCACACCCCTTAGACGTTTCGAGCCCCCATAGGGAGCCCCACCGAAGGCCCAAATGCCAGCGTTCGCATGCGGCCACCGTACCTATTTTGGCACACCCCTCACACGTTTCGTGGCCCCATAGGGAGCTCCACCGAAGGCCCAAATGACAGCGTTCGCATACGGCCACCGCGCCCATTTCGGCACACCCATCACACGTTTCGACCCCGATAGGGAAGCCCCACCGAATGCCCAAATGCCAGCGTTCGCATGCGGCCACTGCACAAATTTTCGGCACACCCCTGATACGTTTCGTGGCTCCATCGGAACCGCACCGAAGGCCCAAACGCCAGCGTTCGCATGTGGCCAAGGCGCCCATGTTGGCACACCCCTCACACGTACCGTGGCCCCATAGGGAGCCCCACCGAAGGCCCAAGTGTCAGCGTTCGCATGCGGCCACCGCACCCATTTTGGCACACCCCTCACACGTCTCGTGGCCCCATAGGGAGCTCCACCGAAGGCCCAAATGCCAGCGTTCGCATGCGGCCACCGCAACCATTTTGGCACACCCCTCACACGTTCCGAGCCCCCATGTGGAGCCCCACCGAAGGCCCCAATGCCAGCGTTCGCATGCGGCCGCCGCTCCCATTTTGGTACACCCCTCACACGCTTCGTTGCCTCAGAGGGAACCCCCGCGAAGGCCCAAATGCCAGCGTTCGCATGCGGCCACTGCACCAATTTTGGCACACCCCTCAGACGTTTCGTGCCCCCATATGGAACCGCAGCGAACGCCCACATGCCAAACTTATTTTTGTCACACCCCTGACACGTTCCGTGGCCCCATAGGGAGCTTCACCGAAGGCCCAAATGCTCGTGTTCGCATGCGGCCACCGCACCCATCTTGGCACACCCCTCGTGCGCTTCGTGGCCCCATAGGGAGCCTCGCCGAAGGCCCAAATGCCATCGTTAGCATGCGGCCACCGCACCCATGTCGGCACACGTCTCATACGTTTCGTGGCCCCATGGGAACCCAACCGAAGGCCCAAATGGCAGCGTTCGCATGCGACCGCCGCTCCCATTTCGGCACGCCCCTCACACGCCTCGTGCCCCCATAGGGGGCCCCACCGAAGGCCGAAATGCCAGCGTTCACATGCGGCCCCTCACACGTTTCGTGGCCCCATAGGGGGGCTTCACCGAAGGTCCAACTGCCAGCGTTCGCATGCGGCCACCGCACCCATTTTGGCACATCCCTTACACGTTTCGTGACCCCACAGGGAGTTCCATCGAAGGCCCAACTGCCAGCGTTCGCATGCGGCCGCCGCACCCATGCTGGCACACCTCACGTTTCGTGACCTCATAGGGGGCCCCACCGAAGGCCCAAATGCCAGCGTGCGAATGCGGTTACCGCACCCATGTTGGCACACCCCTCACACGTACCGTGGCCCCATAGGGAGCCCCGCCGAAGGCCGAAATGCCAGCGTTCGCATGCGGCCACCGCGCCCATCTTGGTACACCCCTTAGACGTTTCGACCCCCATAGGGAGCCCCACCGAAGGCCCAAATGGCAGCGTTCGCATGCGGCCACCGCACCCATGTTGGCACACCCTCATACGTTTCGTGGCCCCATAGGGAGCTTCACCGAAGGCCCAAATGCGAGCGTTCGCGTGCGGCCACCGCACCCATTTCGGCACACGCCTCATACGTTTCGTGGCCCCATAGGGAGCCCCACCGAACGCCCAAATGCCAGCGTTCGCATGCGGCCACCGCGCCCATTTTGGTACACCCCTCCGACGTTTCGAGCCCCATAGGGGAACCCCCCCGAAGGCCCAAATGCCAGCGTCCTCATTCGGTAACAACACCCATTTTTGTATACGCCTCACACGTTTCGTGGCCTCGTGGCCCCATAGGGAGCTCCACCGAATGCGGTGCATGTAACGACGGTGCCCACAACGGCATATGGTTGGGTTCTTCGCCAGGCTATTGTTTTCACAGGGTTTGTGTTTGTGTTGGGTGTCTGGAAACGGGAGAGGGAGAGACGAAGAGAAACAGAGACAGATAGAGAAAGAGAAATCAGATAGAGAGATAGAGAGAGAGAGAGAGAGAGAGAAAGAGAAAGAGAAAGAGAGAGAGAGAGAGAGAGAGAAGAGAGAGAGAGACACACATAGAGACAGAGACAGAGAGAAATACAGAAATAGAGAATCAGAGAGAGCGGACAAGTAAACGGGAGTCACGTCGACAGCCGGCTACTGCGGTAGCCGAGGCCGCCATCGCACTCTTGGCGGCGGTGCGCACCTTGGGGGAACTGGGGATGTTGAAACAACCACCCCCTGGCGCGAAACGTCTGTGGCACGAGGCGGGGTGCCGAGCAGGCGATGCGCCAAGTCTCCTGCGCCCCGCGTTGGAGAGGGCTTAGGTCGGCGAAGCCCGGTTGGCGGTCGGGGGACAGGGGCTTGACCGCTACGCGGTATGCGACCGACGAGGCGTCCCCCGCCGCCGCAGCCAGGCCCCGACGTCGCGCGGCCGCGCGGGCAATCGGGCCAGCGAGCAGTGGGCCTGCGGCCGTGGTGGAGGCCCTGCGCGGGCATGCGCGGCACCGAGAAGGTCGTGCAGCGTTGGGACGGGCGACGTGCCGTCGGGCGAAGGCGAAGGTCGGAAAAAGGCCAGGGCGGCCTGAGCCTTGGCATCGCTCGGACGTGTGCATCTTTTCTCGGCGAGGACCCTCGAGGACCATCCTGGACCATCGAGCAAAAGAAGAAGCACGCACGAGACCGACAGATGCACGGGAAATGGACGTCCGAGCGACGGCAAGAATCGGCATCCCCCCAACATACTTATACTATGTGTTCGTCGCCCCCCCAGGGGCGACGCGTGCACCGAGAAATCTTATAGTACATGCGTCGTGGCGGGCGCTTCCTGGCCACACCGCTCGGGAAACGATACACTACAAGATGGGTATACTATATGTTGAGGTCGGACGCGCGCCTCCAAGGCGGACATCTAGTACTAGTATGTCTTTGTGCGTCCCAAAGAAGGCCAGGGCGGCCCGAGCGCGGTGAGGGCGTCGCATGTGCGGACCCCGCGGGGAGGTCGAGGAGCGAGCCCGGCGCGCACGCGCGGCGTGCCTGGAGAAACTTTTTGGGTGGCCGTGCGGCGCCCGGGGGCTCTCTGCGGCTCGACCCGTGGGCAGGACGCGGAGCATGGAAAGAGAGAGAGAGAGAGAGGAAGGACAGCAAGACAGAGAGAGAGAGAGAGATAAACAGAGAGAGAGAGAGAGAGAGAGAGAGGGAGAGAAAGAGAAAGGCAGAGGGAGAGAGACAGAGAGAGAGAGATTGAGAGAAGGAGAGAGGGAGAGAGGGAGAGAGAGAGAAAATCAGAGAGAGAGAGAGAGAGAGAGAGAAAGAGAGAACCAACAAACGAGGAGGAGGAGGAGGAGGAAAAGGAGAACACCACCGTCGTATTGGAATGCTGGTAAAATTTGGTGCTGGGCGGGCGTTGATATATTTTAGCCGTGCTTGACGGATTTGGGCCTGTTCGGGAAGTCCTAAGGGGGCTCCCAGAGCACTTCGAGCCGCCTTGATATTCTCTGGGGAGCTTGTGGAGGCATGTCGGAAGTTACTTTGAACCATCTTCGGCAATCTTGAGCCATCTTGGGGGCGATCTTGGAGCATCGGGGGCCCTCTTGAAATAATCTTGGGCCATTTTCTGCGCTTTGATCGCTCGCGAGTCCCCCCAACAAATGTCAGGGACGGGGGTGGAGGGCACTTCTTCCCAAATGGAAAGGGGTTTCTGGAAAAGGGAGACCAGCTAAGACCAGAGTGCTTGTGGGAGTTTCCTTTGAGAGAAGCGTTTGGGTCGCAGATCGCTGCCCAGTGGGCCGACGCGCCGGACAGAACGCGGGCGCGTTGGGGCAAGCGAGTCAGTAATTGCGACTAAGTGCTGCCATAAACAATATACGTGACATGCGCGAACAGCAAGAAACACTTCGCCATCGTCGGCAATGCCCCGAAACTTTTTGGAACGAGAGGCCGCGAGCGGCGGCTGTGAAGCTGTGGGTGAAGAGCCGACGTGTTGGAGTCAAGAGAACCGAAACAGTGACAAACACCAGTGTGTGTGTGTGTGTGTGTGTCTCTCTCTCTCTCTCGCTCTCTCCTCCCCCTGCTCCTCTTCCTCCCCCTCCTCCTCTTCCTGTCTAGTTTGTTTAGCATAATGGAGTCCCCTTACCCCCCCCCCTCTCTCCCTCTATCTCCTCTTCCTTGGCTCCTCCTCCTCCTCCTTTTCCTCCTCCCTCCTCCTCCTCCTCCTCCTCCTCTCCTCCTCCTCCTCCTCCTCCTCCTCCTCCTCCTCCTCCTCCTCCCCTCCCTCCTCCTCCTCCTCCTCCTCCTCCTCCTCCTCCTCCTCCTCCTCCTCCTCCTTTCTCTCCTGCTGTCGGGCAGGAGCGTACCTGAAGCAGGAGTCCCTGGAGAAGGAGAAGAAGGACCCCCGGGAACCCGGGGGCTCGCGCGTCCGCGCCCCAGAGCCCGCCCCTGTGAACCCGCGGCGCGCCGAGGCCTCGGCGGCCTCTCTCCCTCGAGGCGCGTCCGTCCGCCGAGGCCCCCCCCCCGCCCTCCCCAACCTCCTCCTCGCGTCCTCGTCCTCCTCGCCCGCTCTCCGGGCTTCCAAGCCCTCCTCCTCCGAGGAGGAGCGGGGTGCCCATACCGCTGCCCTTCGCCCGTTCTCCCCTCTCCGGGCCTCCTGGCAGGCCCTCGTCACCACCGCTGGATTCGCCTCGAGGTTCTGGGCAGAACGCACCCTGGGAGAGGTTCGGGGAGTGGCGGTATTGGTACCTTTTGGTTGCCCCATCCCAGCCCTCCTCCTGCCTCCTGTCTTCGCCTTCTCCCAGCACTGTACCGCGCTGTGCTCCGCGGGATGTGCTCCGCGGGAGAGTTCGTCGGAGCCGAGCTCCCCGAACACAGACAAGCAGTTCAGACGAGTTCCACGAGGATTTTCACCTTCTCCCAATCGTCCTCTCCCCTCCTTCCCCCCTCCTTGGCGTCGTCCTCCCAGTCGCTTCCTCTTCGTCATCCTCATCCTCCTTCTCTAAATTCTCCTCCTTCTCCTACTCCTGCTCCTCCTCCTCCTCCTTTCCCTCCTCCTCCTTCTTTTCCTCCTCCTCCTCCTCCTCCTCCATCTCTTTGTTCTCCTCTTTCTTCCGCTGCCTCTCTCCGTCCTTGCCCCCCTCCGCTCCCTACCTCCCTCGTCGTCGTTCTCTTCTGAGTGCCCCCACCCTCTGGAAGTATCACTCTGGTCGGTCGCCATCGTCCAACCGCGACCGCCCGGAGTCCTGGACGAACAGGGGCTGCAGTGGAAATGACAAGAAGGGAGGAGTAGTGAGGAGGACGAGGAAGCAGAGGAGGAGCAATATTATGATCATGATGATGATGATGATGATGATGATGATGTTGCTGCTGATTTTGATGATGATGGTGGTGCTGACGGTGATGATGATGATGACGATGATGATGACGCTGATGACGATGATGATGGTGATGATGCTGCTGATGATAGTATGATGATGCTTATGACGACGATGAGCATGAGGATGACGAGCATGATGTTGAGGACAAGGGTGATGTGGCGGATGATGGTGATTGATATGATGATGGTGATGATGGTGTTATGGTTGTTGATTATGAAGTCGATAATGATGATGACGACGATGCCGCTGTTGATGATGATGATGCTGAAGTATGATGATGATGACACTGATTATCATGATGATGATAATGATGATAAGAAGAGGGTGATGCTGCTCATGATGATGATGGCGATGATGATGCTGATGATGATAATGATGATGATGATGATGATGATGATCATGACGACGACGATGGCGATGATGATGATGATGATGCTGATACTGATGCTGCTGATGATGATGATCATGACGAAGACGATGACGATGCTGATGATGCTGATGATGATGATGATGTTGATGCTGCTACTGATGATGATGATGATGATTGTGCTAATGATGATAATATTGATGCTGATGATGCTGCTGATGATGATGATGATGATGTTGATGATGCTGCTGATGATGACGATGATGATGCTGGTCATGATGATGATGCTGATGATGATGATGATGCTGATGATGATGATGCTGATGCTGATGATGATGATGCTGACGATTACGATGATGATGATGATGATGATGATGATGATGATGATGATGATGATGATGATGATGCTGAGGATGATGATGCTGCTGCTGATGATGATGATGACGATGATGATTATGCTGATGCTGCTGCTGCTGATCATGATGATGATGCTGATGATGCTTATGGTGATGATGATGCTGCTGATGATGATGACGATGATTATGATGACGATGATGATGCTGATGATGATGCTGATGATGATGCTGATGATGATGCTGCTGATGATGATGCTGATGATGATGATGATGATGATGATGATGATGATGATGCTGACGATGATGATGATGATGATGATGATGATGATGATGATGATGATGATGATGATGATGATGATGATGATGATGATGATGATGATGATGATGATGATGATGATGATGATGATGATGATGATGATGATGATGATGATGATGATGATGATGATGATGATGATGATGATGATGATGATGGTTGTGGTGGAGATAACAATGATGATTACCTACACGACCACCGTTCGGGTGACAAGGAGGTTGCTTGTGTGGGGAATACCAGCTGATGGCAACTGCGATAATTGCGAAGGTGACGATGCTGGTGCTGCGCTCACGATTTTGTGACGTAGCATGGCATAGCATTGCATTGCGTTGCGTTGAATAGCATCGCATATCGAGTAGCATAGCGAGTAGCATGGCGAGTAGCATAGAGAGTAGCATGGCGAGTAGCATAGCGAGTAGCATGGCGAGTAGCATAGAGAGCAGCATGGCGAGTAGCATGGCGAGTAGTATGGCGAGTCGCATAGCGAGTAGCATAGCGAGTAGCATGGCGAGTAGCATAGCGAGTAGCATACTGGCCAGTGCAGCGAGTTGCATAGCGAGTAGCATAGCAAGTAGCATAGCGAGTAGCATAGCAAGTAGCACAACGAGTAGCATAGCGAGTAGCATAGCGAGTAGCACGGGTCACCACGGGACACCACAGCACACCACAGAACGCTACGGGACACCGCGCCACGCGACACCACGGGAAACCACGGGACACCCACGGGACCCTGGTGGGACACAAGGCGGGACAGCCTGGGCCACCGCAGGCGCACCAGCGGCAGGAGAGGCATTGAGCCCGGTTTCGTTCTAGCCAGGGCGGGATCATTCATTTCGCGGCCGCGTGCTGGGACGGGGCCCACGTGCGTCGGGCGCCCCCTCGAGTGCGGGAGACGCCGAGGAGGGGGCCCGCTCGTGGCCTTGGGCCAGGCTGCGTATCCAGACAGCTTCGCCTCACCCGCACGCGTGGCACGACACCGAAACCGATTTCCGGGGGGGGCCTTCCGTTTCACTTCGATCTCACGCCTCAACATCCGAGTGATGCTGTTGCTGCTGCTGATGACGACGAGGATCATGATGATGATGATGATGATGATGATGATGATGATGATGATGATGATGATAATGCGGATGATGATAAGGATGGAGATGGGGATGATGATGATGATGATGATGATGATGATGATGATGATGATGATGATGATGATGATGATGATAATGCGGATGATGATAAGGATGGAGATGGGGATGATGATGATGATGATGATGATGATGATGATGATGATGATGATGATGACGATGCTGATAGTGATTACGAGGATGCTGCGGGTGACGATGATGGCATTAAGTCTGGCGTTGTTAATGGTGATTGTGATGCTGATGCTGATGATGACGATGCTTGTGATGATGTTGATGACGAGGATGCGGATGATGATGGTGATCATGATGATGCCGATGCTGATGTTGATGCCGTTGAGGATGATGCGGGTGATGACGCTGAAGCTGATGATGACGATGATGACGCGTTCGCTGATGCTGCTGATGCTGTTGCTGATGCTGGTTGTGATGATGCTGATGACGTCGTTGATGCTATTGCTGATGATCTTCCTTTATTGCTGATGCTGATGGTAGTATCGTTGAGGATGATGAGGACGATGTTGATGATGCTGCTGCTGACGATGATGATGCTGGTCATGATTTCGGTGATGATAATGATTGCACTACTTTTCGTGGTGACGATGCTGCTGATGATTGTGAGGCTGATGGCGATCATGATGCTGCTAATGATGCTGCTAATGATGCTGCTAATGCTGATGAACATGAGGTTGGTGATACTACTGCTGTCGCTGCAGCTTTCGGATATGACGATGACGATGATGATGGTGATGCCGTTGAGATTGATGATGATGCCGCTGCAATTGATGATGCCGATGCTGACGCGTTCGCTGATGCGGCTGCTGTTGATGGTGATGGTGATTCTGATTTCCTTGATGCTATTGCTGCTGATCGTAATAGTGCCGATGATGATGGTGATGTCGTTGGGGATGATGATGGTGATGATGATGATGTCGGTGATGCTGCTGATGATGACGGTGATGGTCATGATTCAGGTGATGTTGATGTTGATTGCGCTTCTATTGGTGATGATGATGCTGATGATGATTGTGATGATGATGATGACAATCATGGTGCTGCCAATGTTGCTGCTAATGACACTATAAGGATGATGTTTATGATACGGCTTCTGACACTGGGTGATAGTGATGATGACGATGCTGATGATGAGAATGGTGGTGGTGGTGATGATGATGATGGTGGTGGTGGTGATGATGGTGGTGGTGGTGATAATGATGAGGAGGAGGAGGAATAGGAGGAGGGGGGGGATTTGGAGGAGAAGGAGGAAGACACTCGTTCGCGTTCTTCAAAGATGGTTGCCGCCCAGAGATGTGTTTGCAGACGTACCCAGCTGCAGGCCGTCTCTCGTATGAGAGTGATGCTTCCCGGGGTGCCGGACGGCGGGTGCAGGACGTCACGTGAAGGTACAGATACAGTGCCGTCTTTAAGACATGCTCCGCGTGCGGATCATGCATTAATAATGCAGGGATTTAGTACTAAAAACAACGGTGAGTTCATGCATACATTTATTCATAAATGAATCATGTATTACAAATCCCATATTCTTAAACATCGAGTGTATAAAAAAAACTGCCCTGTACAGATAATACCTCGAATTAGAAGCCCGAGCCCAACAAGGGCCAGGAATCGCGCTCATCTCCGCCGGGCCTGTCCAGCGTCGCGGGTAAACCCTCTTGGTGCAGCATTGGCAAGGCTGGGGTTTGCGCACGGACTCGGGGGAAGACGACGCGACACCACCACCACCACCACCACCACCACCACCACCACCACCACCACCACCACCACCACCACCACCACCACCACCACCACCACCACCACCACCACCACCACCAGGGGGGGCACCTCCAGCGAGGGGGTCCACGATGCCTCCCCGAGCTGGGGATGGGGGGCGCCTCGAGCGAGAGGGGGGGTGGGAACAAACCATCAGGAGGACCTTCCCTGGCGCCGCGCGCTGGTGGTGGTGGTGTCGCCTCTCCGTGTTCCTGCAGGCAGCTCCCCCCCGTCCCTCCTCCCGCACTTCCTTGCCGCCCCGGTGCCCACCTCAGGCCGCTTCTGTCCTGCGGTAGCCACTGCCGCAGCTTGGACACCAGGCGCCGCCGGCCGCAAAAGTGCCCGCGGGCTCACCCCCCCGCCCCCCAGAGGGCCGCCCTGGCCGGCCCCAGCAGGCTCGCAGGGGAAGGCCCAGGGCGGCCTCGACGCCCCCAGCCACGGGGCGCGGAGGGCGCCCCGGGCCCAGAGAGCCAACGCACTGACAAAAAACGAGACGGAGGTCTTTCGCACAGGACTGGACGCACGCACGCACGCACGCACTGAAAAAAACGCCCCTGGAGGCCTCCGCCGGGCCTCGGAACCGTCAGAGAATTGCTCAGGATGAAAGACCGGTCCTGGGGAATGGGTCGAGACTCCTGGGGGCCCCGTATGGACAAAATCGCGACGCAGGATCTCAGGGGGCGGGGGCGCCGCCAGGGCTGGCCCGGCAAAAGGCCGCGGGCGCCCCGGGCGCCGCCCTGCGGGCCTGCAGGGGCCGGTTGGGGAGAGCCTCCGGGGGGCCGTCTGTGCTAGAGCTGAGCAGCAGGATCGCCCAGGCGCAGGGGCCGCAAGAGAGGCCTTTCACCGGAAGGACCTTCGGTGCGGGCCCACTTCTGGACGCCCGAAATGGGTACGGACAGAATGGGTACAATGCCCAACAGCAGTTCCTGTTCATTTTGAACAGGACTCGCTGTCCGGGCCGCCGCGGCCTGTGTCCATTCGAGGCAGAAGGCCGCCTGCCCAACAGCGGCCGCTGTTGGTTTGGGACAACATTTGTTGTTGGGCATCGTACCCATTCTTTCCGTACCCATTTCGGGCGTCCAAACCAGTGGTCGGAGGCCCCCAGACGGTGTGGTGACCACGTCGTGTGGTGAGTCGGTGGGGATTCGGGGGCACCGCACGGTCTTGGGACAAGAGCCCCTCTCCGAGGATGTCTTGGGCGACAGGGGCCTCCAGGGTCCCAAGACCCTGCGGTGACGGACCGTGCGGCAAGGTCTCTTGGGGTTCCGAGGTCACCGCACGGTCTGTAACCACACCGTTTTGGGATCCCCCAAATGGGGTTCCTTGGTCGCTGAGCTCGAAGCGGTAGCAGCGGCTTGCGCGCCCAGGTTTGGCCACCCCGCGTCCCCCGTTCAGCCGCGCACCAGAGGTCACTCTTGCCTAGGGTCACTCTTGCGTATAGCCGACACGATGACTTGAGTCGGCTGGGGGTCCAAGGTGGCCCAGCATTGGTTCCGGCCAGCAGGAAAAGGGGTGAGGTGCGAGGTTCTTGGTTGGGGAAGGTTTTTCGATTGTGTCTCCAGGGGCTGTCTGCGGCCCCATGATTGTCAAAAACGGATCCGGGGTGAAACATTTGACCAGATGGACCTCAGGAGGGGTCCAGCTCCAGGGAGCGATTTTGAGCTGAGGTGCCTTCACCTGCCCTTCCCGATTGATTTTTCTCGCGGTCCAACCAGCTCTGACTCCCCGGACGCCTCCAAACGATGACCATGACCATGATGTCGAGGGATCTTGTCGACGCCGATCTTGGTCATGGCCCATGTTGGCCGTCGCCGATTCGCGAGGATGACCCACGGATTGACGGGGACCAGGATAGACGATGACCAAGATCGACGCCGACGTTTCCGCGTGCAGTCTTGGTCATGGTTCACGTTCTCTGTCCCTCCATATGCGCCCCCACCCGAAGCCTTACCTTCTACACCGCAGATGGAG